TTGTGTGTGTGTTTGTTTATGTTTGATGATGATAATGAATGCTTAATTCAAGAACTTGTCAAGCTTTTAAAGTATCCAAGAATTTATTTTTTATGTATTTCCATGAGTAAACATGAAGTAATAGGTTATGTTGAAAAGGGTAATTTACTACCAAGTGTTTAAACATAGAAATAGAACTTGATTTAAACAAGAGTTTTCAAGGTAACTTTGTTAATCAAATTACCATTCAGGGTAATAGATTACCAAACTTGTTACTGGAAAAGGATATTCAAATGTGCTATGTGTTAATAGCTTACCAAGTCTGTTATGAAACATGTTTTTTAAAGAACTCTTTGAGGTAAGAGATTACCAAAGTTGGTAACAGATTAAAATAGTGTAACTGCAACCGCGACCGCAACCGCAATTTAAAACCATGCTTTCAAGAATAACTTGCAAGCACCTAACACTTTCAATTTTCAAACGTCAAAAGGAGAATTTGCTCATTAATAAATACTATCATTTAACAATCTCACTCAAATTTTTTATAATTAGTATAAATTTATTATTATTATTTTTGAATTATTAAGTATTATCTTTTTAAAATTATTTTTAAATTATCAAATATTTAAATTTTGATTAATATTTATTTTTGATAAAATTTAATATTGAAATTTCATATTTTTAAACATGTATTTAAAAAATAATTTTTGCATGTGATGAAAAATAAGTTGTCTTGTTTAAATTAAATATTTTAAATTTACTAAATTTGAATTAGTTTTTAGAATAAAAACATTTAAAAATGAAAGAAAATTAAATAAAAATAATTCAAATTTCAAACTTTTTAAATTTCCTAAACTCTTTGTCTAAAGTAAATTTTTTAGACTAATTATAAAATTGTGAAATATATATTTAAAATAGAAAAAAGAAAAGACATTGAAAATGTCTTAAATTTAAGAATTTTTTTTCATTATATTATTGTCAAAATAAAATTATTTGTTGCTAATTTATGATACTCCTTTTTTTAAGTAGTTTCACGCTTCAATAAAAATAGATTTTATATTCATTTGATAAAAAATTAGAAAATTCATCATTAAAAATTATATTAATTTATTTTTATTCATATTTTACCATTTTTATTTTCTTGTAATTTTAAATATTTACAATAAATCTATAAAATAATCTTATAAATTCATAAAACATTTTTAAATCTTATGAAGTTCTTATAATATATAAATTTATTAAAATTTAAACTGTATAATCTATTATAAAATTCCTAATTATTATATTCTTATATAATCTTTTAAATTAAAAAAAAAATATAAAAAAACAATATTTCAATTCATTGCACGCTCTTATTATATCTATTGTATTTTTTTTACAACTTTATATATATTTATATATTCAACTCCATTTTTCGGACTTAAGCTGCACTCCCTGCGCTAACACCTTCTCTCTCTGTGCCAAGCTCTGCGATCGCCGTCTTCGCCTTCACCGTTTCCGGTAATTTTTTTTAAAATTTTTTAATTTTGTGATTGTGTTACCATACCTATGTTACTGTTCTCGTCGTTTCAGTTGTTGGATCCATGCCAATTGTGTTACTTTTAGGTTGAAATTTTAAAATGTCCCCTTGATTTCGTTTAAGAACGTTGGCAGAAGTTAAAGTAGATTCCCTTAGATTCTGGAAGATCTGTGCGCTTCGAATTAAAACTTTGATTTGGTACTTGAAATTATAATTTCTACTTTCTGTTGGTCTCTGGAAGAGTCGAATAATCGATAATTGAATGTGGATGATGGTTTATTAACTTGGAAATTCTCAAATTGCAAAAACCCCATCCTGTTTCCTGAGAATCCACGAGTTGGGCATCTTGGTCTTTCTCAGGGACTCTTGTGTTTAATGCCTTAGGGTTAGTTAATGATATGATTAGACATTTGTGGTTCCTCCTAAAGTTTAATGGGCTTTTTCCATTTGCAAGGACCAAGGTTTTTATTCTACCCTAATTTTTTTGTAGACAATTTTTGGAGATTAGGATCTGTTTGTTTCAAAGTTAGGGTCTAATTTCAAGGTATGGAACTTGAGCTCCATATTGGAAGTATAGGATTCTAGTGTGGGGTTTGTTGAGCATTGGGCTCAGTGGCTAACTTTTGTGGTGTGGTTCTCTGAAGGTTCTTATCAGATGATTTTGATAAAATTAGTTTTGAACCATGGAACATGATTGAGATGTGTATCCAAATTAATCTCAGTCTCGGATACAGATTTTACCTTGGAAGTGCTGATGAGTGCCATGGTGGGAGAAATTAGTTCTAGTAGTTTGCCAAATGGCCGCACACTTTTATCAATATAGGAAGCACTTGTATGTTCTTTTGCTTTGGATCCCTGATCCAATTCTAGTGGTCATCCTCATCCCTAATTCTATATGTATGGTCCCTGCTTCTAAATTTCTTTATGCTGTGAATTGAGATAATTGGTTCAGTACCCATTAAATTTACAATTGAGGTTTCTGTGTGATTTAGTGGAAGAAGATTTGTGCTCACTGTCCCTTAACCCTTTATTCTCTTTCTGGGCTGTAAAATCTTTCAAGTGGTTTCTTTAATGACTAATAATTGTACCTTTTTAAATTATTGAACTTTTCAGAGTTTATCGGTTATCAGTCATGCATTACTTCCACATGCCCTGGGAGGTTTCTTGTGTCATTTTTCTTGGTATGCATTTGTGTATTTCATTTGATTTTCAAAATGTAATGTGCTTACTTTTGATAGAAGAGATAAAGTCAAAACCCTTGTTTGTGGCTTCAGAATGTCATAACTGCTGGTTTGAACTTATTGATTTGACAGATTGTCTCTGTGATGAATGGCACAGAACAAGATTTGTGTTATTCTGTGAATGTATGGTTTTGCCACTAGAATGATTCCTTGTTTCATAGTGTCAATGTAACATTTTGTCTATACTTCAGTCGTGCTTTCCTTTTTCCTAATTTTATCTGGAAGCTCAATATTCTTTGACCATAAATCATGGACTTATCTCTTATCTCTTATTCTTTCTTGGCATCGTGTATATCTTTAATTTATTATAACAATGACAGGAATATAAATCAAACTATTATTACCTCACCCAAGTTTCCCACTTTGTTTTACTTTATTTTTTTATTTTTTTATTGAGCTTGCAATCTATATGTAGAAATAAGTCTTAACAGAATTATTTCATGGGAGGTTTTCAAAAAAGTAACTCTTGACAAAAAAATAAATCCATGAAGGAAGAGTAATTGCCCGAAGTGGGCATTTAATTCATTTCAAGACACTGTATTTATATTAAAACCACTTAAGGTTGTAAATTTTTTCTTCCACAGGAGTCCTCTTTTTTGTTTTCTTTTACCTAAGATGTACTTTATTCATTCTTCTCCTTTCCTTGTCTTTGCTCTGAACTAAAACTCAGGTCAATATGTCTCGAAGATATGATAGCCGTACGACAATTTTCTCACCTGAAGGACGTCTTTACCAAGTGGAGTATGCAATGGAGGCCATTGGGAATGCTGGTACTGCAATAGGAATCTTGTCAAAAGATGGGGTAGTTCTGGTTGGTGAGAAGAAGGTCACGTCCAAGCTGCTGCAAACCTCAACTTCCACTGAGAAAATGTACAAGATTGATGATCACGTTGCATGTGCTGTGGCTGGAATTATGTCTGATGCCAACATCCTAATCAATACTGCCAGGGTCCAGGCACAACGTTATGCATATGCTTACCAAGAGCCAATGCCAGTTGAGCAGTTGGTTCAATCTCTTTGTGATACTAAGCAAGGTTACACACAATTTGGTGGTCTTCGACCATTTGGAGTCTCATTCCTGTTTGCTGGTTGGGACAAAAATTTCGGCTTTCAACTTTACACAAGTGATCCCAGTGGAAATTATGGTGGTTGGAAAGCTGCAGCTATCGGTGCCAACAACCAGGCAGCACAGTCAATTCTAAAACAGGATTACAAGGATGATATCACAAGGGAAGAAGCAGTTCAACTTGCGCTGAAGGTACTGAGTAAAACTATGGACAGCACAAGTCTCACCTCTGAAAAGCTTGAACTTGCAGAGGTTTTTCTCTCACCTTCTGGAAAAGTCAAGTATCAAGTTTGCTCCCCAGAAAACCTGACTAAGCTGTTGGTGAAGTTCGGGGTGACCCAACCAGCAACAGACACTGCTTAGCTTCTTGGTTTCTTGTCATATGTAGTTTAATTATGCCTATACAATGCATTTGGAACGTTCTTCCTTTTCAGTATAGACGTTAGAAAAGTGTCCCAAATCTATTTCAAAGTTCAAACTTACAAACATTTTGTATTATTGCTTTTTAGTTTGTATTTCTTCGGTGATTTTCAGGACTTAAATATATGATATCTGTATCCGTTCATTGCTTTTGCTTTCTGCCTATCTTCCGTTTCTTGCCCGTAATTTGGATTGAAGATGGTAGAAGTAGAACCAATGCATCAACTAGCTTTGTCAAGCAATTTTCGAATCGAGTAAATTGCTCTCGTTATTGTTAAAATTAACAAATGATGTTAAATTTTTAAATTTTAAAAGTATAGTGTAATGTAGTTTGTCTAGTCACTGTCGCTGACAGCTGTAGTCAGTTATCACAACTGTATGTAACTAACATGGCCAAAACCATTGTAGACTTGGCATTGAACATTGTTGATTCTCTTTTTGAGTGGCCTGCACCTGTGGTGATAAATTATCATTGCTAGGGTTTCGGTTTCCTTCTGAAATACACACACCCCGAGTCATATTGAGTAAAATTTGTAAAATCTGCTCAACTAGTTATTTGAGGTGTTTAACTCTTGTTTCTTGAGCAACAAGAGATTCGATCTCATTGAAGGAGAACATCTCAGGTTTGTTATTGATGACAGACACAAGAAGAGATTCATATTCGAATGTTCCTGTTCACAAACTGAATCACCTGATTGAAGTTAGATACCAGTTAATTTCTACAAATTAATTTATATATAAATCAATTTTAATTTATAGAAAATTTTATTTCATTTTTTTTTCTTATATTTTCTTCTATAAGTATTTATGAATTTTTTTATTATTATTTAAATAGGTCCTAAACTACAAATGATTTGATATGCTTGAAGTGATTCCTATACCAAATAATCGCCTTTGCCTTGGTGTGCAAATTGTAATGGCCAAGAATCTTGGTCCAAAGTTGATGCGAATGATGGGGGTTCATCTTTGCTTCTTCATTTAAATGTTAAGAGGTTGCTATTATCTTGGTTCTCCACCCTTGGTTTCTTCCTCATCATCAATTTTCTTTCTTACTTCTACATCTTGCTTCTCTACCTGATGCTTTTGTTGGGCTTCCTTTTCCAAGATTTCTTGAACAATTGAAAAGTTTTCAGTATTTGTTTCTAGCCTCCGAGCTGCTGGTTCGATGCCCTTTTCTTTTGGAATCTATGAAAATGCATGCTTTTTCTCCATTCTAGAGAAGCACCTCAAACCTGGTTCTTGGAATCATTAGCTAAGGCAATTTTATGAAGAGCAACAGGATTGTCTCGAGCTTTTCATTCTCAAATACCCAAAAGATGGTTTTCTTTACCTTTCCTATAGTTGAAATATAGTTCGTCTACAGTGTGCTTGGTAGGATTGAAAGTGAACAATGTGATATATAAAATGCATAATTTGATACCATGCTAATCCACTTTTTCCAATTCTTTCTTTGACTTAATTGGCTCCCTTCGTTTACAGTGAAGCAACATGCCTGCATCTTAACTAGTTTGAGATGGATGAGTTATTTGGCTTATAAATTGCATGACTTTTAAAATTCTAAAGCTTGTCATTATGATGAGTGTGAACTTGAAATAATTATATTTTACATTAAATATGTTTTTAGTTTGAACTTTTTTCAAATTTTTGTTTTAATTTATGAACATGTTTTATTTGATTTTAGTTTTAATTTTTTTTAAATTTATTTTATGTCAACGACCAAAATGTTAACAAGGAAAAAAATTCGTAGACTAAAAGTAAAATTTAGCAAAAGTTCAAGACTAAAATTAATAAAAGAAAAAATATATTCCTGGACTAAAAAAAATTGGCAAAAATTTGGAGCTAAAAATATATTTAATCCTAATATTTTTATAGATAATATATTATGTCGTTTACCCTTTGTTATTTTTAAAATATCCACAAATAGAGATTGAAAAATTTGCCGACCGCAACTTATTATTGATATGGGAAATATTAGTAACATTCAAACACTCATTTTAATTGATTAAAATTGATTGAAAATTACAAATTTTGTGAATCTAACATCACATTTGATGAGTTTTTCTCCTAATTTAGTAGTATGATACACTAAAATTTGTGATTTTCAATCGATAATAAATAAAATATTAATAAGAAAGTGTTGAAAATAAGTGGTCTAGCATTTCTATATTGATATTTATAGATGTATCATGTTAAGAATAAGAATGTTTTTTCAATATTAGTGGTGTTGCTTATACATTTTAAAGGAAAAAGGAAAGATTGTGCTTTACAATTGATTGATTGTAAAATCATTAAATACCCTGAAAAGATAGAAGAATGAATGTGTGATTTGAACACTTTGGCAAGCTTAGCTTGGCATGTGAAACATTTGTTATTGATGGAAGATATAGACATAAAGGAGCTCATTCCACACATCAGGCACTCCAGGGAGGCACCAATGAATGCAATCTGCATAACTATTTGGGTTTGATATCTGTTCTTGGGTTAGAGGGTCCCACTGCTTCCTGTATATAGAAGGGTGTCCTTCTTTTCTGTATTCTGAGAGCTGTGTGATGTTAAGCATTTGAACATTCAAACCTCTGGCTTTCAAATCATCAACCACATTCTCCACCACACGCATCATTTTAGGATCAGAACCTTTCCCCCAATACCCCTCTTCTGCAATCATATCTGTTTCACTGTAACAATTGTTACCCTTAGCTGCTCCCCATTCCTCAGCCCTGCAATTTTTTTTTCAATTACTAATTTAGTATATTTACTGATTCTAGTACAATTACAGAGCTATTGCTTTACAGTTATGCACTGAAATCTAATGGGATATTTGAACAATTCTCTTGAAGAACTAAAATTTGCATTTGATTTTAAATTATTATGATTATAATAAATGATTTTAGTAGCCTGAAAAGATAAAAAAAAATGATACAAGAAAGGATAACCTTAATTTATTTAAGGTCTCAGAAGAGATTAATTTTCAATAAATTCGGTAAATACTTTTATTAATATCATCATAAAAAAAAGTAAATGATTTTAGTTGCATAATCAATTTCACTTTCCAATTCTAGTTCTTGCATACAAAACTATATCCAACTATGTAATAGTTAATTAAAAGTGAATTTGTTGAGTGCTGCAAAACACTAAAGGGTTTAATGGTCATCCATTCTTAGTTTATAATTTTTACATTATAGACTAACCAAAAATCATTATTGATATATCTTTAAAAATAAATTTATAAAAGTCAATAAACTCAATAAATAATGGTTTGCTATTGAATATCTATGTAAAATAGTTTTCCATGATGGATACATGGTCTTTTTTCTCAACAGTAAAACCATAATGACAACAGCATTCTTCCATTGATGACTCCGTTGTGTTCTTATACAATATAGAACAATCATTAAAAAAAATCTTCGAAAAGTCTCTACCAATAAAAAAGCAAGATAATTTTACTTTATACGTAGAATCAATTCAAGATGGGAAAGTCAATTTTGATTTTGAGAAATAATTTATGTATAACTCTGGTCAGTGTTTGAACATATTGGATTTTCTTTTGGGGGACCACAACAGATATTCATAATATATATTCTTTAGAGTTTAGGAAAAATTGGCTCCACCTCCATGTGCATAAAATTGTAATGTGGTTCTATATCTACCGGCCGGGAAGAATTGTATATGGAAAAAATCTTCCAACCACTATTTTTTTATTTATTTTTTTTTACATATACTTAATTATTGAATCATCTCTAATTCTTATTTAATGATTAAATGGGTTAAAATAAATATGAAACATAACTTACTGATAGAATGCATATATTAAAGAAAACTTGAAAAGCATGTAGTTCATATGTTGATTAACAACTTATATATATATATATATATATATATTTATTTATTTATTTATTATCGAAGTGAAACGAGTAATTCTAAGAACATGTTTAAAAATATTTGTGAGAGTTTCTCGACTAAAAAATACTCTTTATTTTTAATAAAAAAAATTCTGAAAAATGTTTGTAACTTGTATTTAAATAAGTTTTAATTCAAGAACAATACCAACTTAAGTTTTACACAAATTAATATTGCATGATTGTAGAATAGACAAAATTTAACTATGATAATGTTGCTCTGAGTATACCTTTCATGAGTGGGTGACATGCTAACGAAAAACAAATGCGTCTTGCTACGATTGACATGAACTTCCAACCAATCAGACCAGGTCCTCAGGGCCATTTCATACACTCTCAGCATTTCAACTCCTTTGAAGACACCATCTGGGTCTCCAAATGATCCCCACCTGCTTGTTCGATTAAATTTGTCACAATCAAAATCATTTTCTAAAGTGGGGTAGTTGCATGAATGCATGATCATTGCATGTGTGATGAATAGTAACGTGCAAATAAACCAACACAATCATGTCATGTGGTGGTTGGAAATTGGAGCTGTTGGCATGCAAGTTGATCAAAGGAATAGTTATGGTTAGGTTAAGTGCACTTACAGGACATTCATTATTGGCCTTCTCCACCAGAGATAAGTGTTGAAAATCAGAAAGTCTGCATCAGTCCAGTACCTGGCATGCTTTTCAATGGCCTTCACTCTCACAGTGCGTTCTGGTACCCTATGGTTTACTGGGTCATCTGAGTTTGATTCCACTAGTAATGGAGACCAATAGTGCTCAATAGTTGCATTGTATTCCTTAATAAAAACATATATAAATAGTTGCAAATGTGAGACAATAAGATTTTTTTTTTTTTTTTTTGTAATTTATGGTGAAAATAAAAACAGTGCTATATATTCACAATAATTTTTTTTTTGTTTTTACTCAAAATATTTTAGGAACATTTCATTTTTTCCTCTATGAAGTCTTGTTCCTCAATTTCTGACTTTGATGCAATAGGTTCAAATCTTGAATTAGTTTCTTTACTTGTGGCATAGGAATAATGCTGCATGCATATACATATATTCTCTCAAACCCTATCATGTGACTTACTTCGGCCCTGAAAATGTTTAGTGAACCATTGGCAATGGAATGCATGGATTTGAGGGTTTTGGGCAATATAGAGTCAACAAGGCAAACCATAGAAACCCATTGGCCTCTGTTGAGTGAATCCCCCACGAACACAAGCCTCTTGTTCCTTAGCCTTTCAAGCAATGCTGTGGCATTGAACCTTATTAACATAGAAAGAACCACATTCCACAAAAAGCTCAAAAACATAGCCAAACCTGATTAAGCATATATATCATACACGTAGCT